GTAGTTTAGCACAGTGGGGCACAGCCACCTCCTCTCTGTACAGATAACTTCTCAAGCCCTGCTTTCCCCCACCAGGTGGCTCTTCTGTCCCCAGTCCCTGCTCTGCCCTCTTCCACCACAGCCAGGCACCCAAAGCAAAGCAGTTGCTGCCACCAGGGAACTCTGGGGGGAACTTCACTCAGCCACCAAGTGGTGAGTCCCACCCCTAGATATTCTGCAGTCCCTGTATCATACGTGTGCTTTAATCAAGGGCGTTTGGTGCCTAGGAAATGACATGGCCAGTTCTGCCCCAAGACATCAGGAAGGGCTTCAGAGAGCAGGAGATTCTGAGGTGAAACTTGAATGATGAGTAGGATTTCATCTTTTGTACCAGTATCAAAAGAGTGGCACAGGCTTCGGGAATGATGAAAGGGACAAGTGGTGACATGGTGTCAGGAAGGAAGATCTACACCCCTATATCTGGCAGTGGGAGGAAATTTGGAACAATGAATGGACTGAACTGATTGAACAAGATGGAGTTTCTGGTTCGTTTTGGGGTATCTGAGTCACATGCCCAGGAGGTGCTCCTGTACATCTAAGCATGGAAATTGTAAGAGAGCCTCCAAAAATCAGGCAAGTCAGAAAGCCAATTAGTTTACTGTGTCAAAGCTCAAGAAATAGGAGAGAGTGTGAAGGGTACAGAAAAGGGTATCTGAGAAGATGCTGTCACAGTACTCTTATTAATGATGTCCCCAAACTGAAAAATACTGAACTCCATGTCAGCAAGGCAGTGGTAGATGGACTGCGTTACATTTATGTCACAGAAGGAAATATTGCAAAAAAAATCAACTATGATTTAAAACAACATGGGAGAATATCAAAAATATAATGTTGACTAGAAGAAGCCGGACACAGATGAATACACTCTGAAGTCAGAACAGACGGGTTCTGTAGGTTGCAAGGGCCCAGCAGGGCAGGTCTCACTTAGGGCCTTACATGTACTTGCAGTCAGATAGTCACTGAGGCTGGGGACACCCGAAGGCTCGACCAGCTTCTCCACGCACCTTCTGGCACCTCCGCTGGAGGCTGGAGCAGCCGGAGGCCAAGGCAGGTAAGCCCCCTCCACTCAGCCCTTCAATGTGACCAGGTGGGTTTCTGTGCAGCATGATGGCCTCTGGGTGGTCAGAATTCCTACATGGTAGCCGGCTTCCCTGAGAGCCAGCCTTCACGTAATGCAGTGGGATTTACACAGCTGTTTATGGTCCAGCCTGGAAAACATGCGACGGGTTTCCACCACGTTCTTGCCCTCTCAGGTTCAGGAGGACTCTCGGGGATGGGAGCGCTGGAAGCTGTTTGATCCGGTCGCGTCTCTGAAGGCCAGATGCCATACTATGGTCATCTGAATCTGTGGTCATTACCTGGTAAGCTACTCTCTTTTAAACAAAATAGTTTTGGGCTGGGGATGTGGCTCAAGCGGTAGCGCGATCGCCTGGCATGTGCGGGGCGCTGGGTTCGATCCTCAGCACCACATAAAAAAATAAAATAAAGATGTTGTGTCCACTGAAAACTAAAAAATAAATATTAAAAAATTCTCTTTCTCTCTCTCTAAAAAAATAGTATTTATCCAGTATTTATTTTTCTATGTTTCTATATTTAGCCCCCTTTTGTCTTTTTTTTTTTTAATAAAACTGAGTTTTAAGTGATACATAAACTCATAAAAGTGGTATTTACTAATGGTGTCCCACGTGCTGTTAGAACACCAACTTGTATAATGTTTAAGTCCGGCTACACATACCTGTCTCCTCAAATAGTATCATTTCTTTATGGTAAAAATATTCAAAATCCTTCTCCCTTTTTTGAAATATACAGCACAATATTATTATTTATAGACACTCTACTATGCAATAGAACAACAGAACTACTTATGCCCATTGAACTTGAACTCAGAACCCATTGATCAACCTCTCCCCATGCTTCCCTGCACTTGCCTTTCCCCAGCCCCTGGTAACCACCATTCCACTCTTAACTTCTATGAAGTGAACTTTTTAATATTCCACATGAGTGAGACCCTGGAGTACTTGTCTTCCTGTGCCTGGCTTATCTCATTTAACAAAATGATCTCCAGTTCCATCCCTGCTGTCACACTAATAGGATTTCATTTTTTAAGGCTGAATAATATTCTACTGTGAATATGTACCACATTGTTTATCAGCTGATGGACACTCAGAGGATTTCCATTATTTGGCTATTTTGAACATGGAAGTGTAGAGTCTCTTTGATATACCGATTCCATTCCCTTTGGATATATACCCAGGATTGGGATTGCTGGATTATATAGTAGTTATATCTTTAATTTTTTGAAGAATTCAGGTGATGTTTTCCATAGTGAATATCCTAATTTACATTCCCACCAACAGTGTGCAAGTGTCGCCTTTCCCCCACAACCTTGCCAGCATGTTTTATCTATAGTCTCTTTGACCATAGCTCTTTTTACTAATTTGAGAAGATATTTCCTCCTGATTTTGATTTGCATCTCCCTGATGATTAATTTCCTTATTCTGTAGGTGGGCGTTTTATAAGGATTGTATAATGTATTTTGAGTATCATAACTTATACAACTAGAATGCCCAGCCGATTTTTTTATTGTATTACTGTATAGTTTCCTTTAGTATGTAATTAATAAGATCTGAATTTATCTTTTATTTAGTTTTACCCTCTAATTTTGCCAGGATTGTTTTTTCCCATCATTTATGGAAGACATTTGGATGTTTTATTTCATAATTTTTTATTCCAGAAATATATAACCTATTTCCATTTATTTGATGGATAACCATAAAATTTCACAAACCCTGGGACTGGTCTTACCTTTACACTTCTCTAGAGCACACATGAACTTTCGAGCAATTCACATCTTTGTTTCCTTTCTGGTTTCCAATATTGTGGGTAGTCAGAATGTGAGCTCTAACTGTAGTAACTGGAGATATTATTGTTTTGACAATACTAAACTAGTCACTTTCCTGTGTGTTTATCATTAGACAATGGTACACTTGCCATTTTCCTCAAGCTATATATGGTACCATGTACCAGCTCAGAGAAGGAAGGCTGTACACTACGCTTTACTTCCGCCCTGTGGAGCACGGTTCTTGGCTGCATGGCCTTTGCTTCTAGCAGCAGATATGTCCTGGGCAATGAGTAGAACTCTGTTAGAGGCTAGAGAGCCCAGTACCAGGGCTGTTCTTGGGATACAGACCTGTGATCCCAGAGCGCTTAACTTCTGTCTGCTTACCCAGTGGTTCTCGTGGACACTAAAGTCCCCCAGACATCAAGAAAACTCAAAACATGGATAAAAAGAAGAAGAAAACACAAAAGGAAGTGACATTGAAATATTTCTTAAAATAAGCACGAGTAACGGACTGGCTATTAACAACATGTTTGATGTGGGCTGTAGCTAATCCTTACCATATATGGCAGTGTCAAGAATGACACAAAAAATTAATCAATATAAGCATGAAGGAATAAAAACTTTATGTTAGGAATCAGAACGGACAAAACATAGGAGAACCAGATAAGGAAAGGTAAAAAACACTAGTTGGAAAACAAATTCTCACTATGTCTGGTGATGAGGATGAACAAGAGCTTGGGGTAAGCTAGGTACACCTGAGCCCCTGATGGACCATGAATGAGACCAGTGCTGGAATCCATGGAGGAGGCTGGCTCTTAGAGTCCACTGTCCTATGAGTTCTCAGGGAGGGCTTGTGGGGCTGGGGATCCCATTGGTCAGGCAGGCTGGTGGTCAGCATGGAAAGCAGGACGTGAAGTAGAGAAAGGTCAGCACACACTGGAACCACTGACACCCTTTATGCTCTTCTTTTTTATAGTGCTGGGAATCGAACCCAGGGCCTCATGTGTACCTGCCCAGCACCTCTGATCCTCTTTTTCACAGCTTCACATCAATGGTGATTTTAGAGTGATGGCAGGCATTTGATTTTCCCTGGATACATTTAGGCATTGCTTCTCCCAGAACCGTACATACCACAAACGAAATTCTCAGAAATATAATCCTGCTTAGCTAGGTTGACAATGTATCAAACACCACAGTGAGTGCTTCTCAAAAACAACAGGAAGATTTTGCTCTGATCTGGGGGGTTTCTAGCCTCTTCTTCCCAGAAAAAGCACAAAGCTGGGCCCCAGACCATCATAGCAAGTACTCCAAGGAAATCATTACCGAGGTAGTTACATTGTGAAGAGGCGCCATTCCAAGAGGCCCAGCCAACCAGGAAAGGCAAATGCAGTCACAGGACCATGCAGATGCCCTTAAGAGCATACGTTAACACTGATGCAATGAAACACTTAATTTTTTTTTTAATTTTTATTGTTGGTTGTTCAAAACATTACATAGTTCTTGACAAATCATATTTCACACTTTGATTCAAGTGGGTTATGAACTCCCATTTTTACCCCCTATACAAATTGCAGAATCACATCGGTTACACATCCACTGTTTTACATATTGCTATACTAGTGTCTGTTGTATTCTGCTGCCTTTCCTATCCTCTACTATCCCCATCCCCTCCCCTCCCATCTTCTCTCTCTACCCCCTCTACTGTCATTCATTTCTCCCCCTTGTATTATTTTTCCCTTTCCCCTCACTTCCTCTTGTATGTACTTTTGTATAACCCTGAGGGTCTCCTTCCATTTCCATGCAATTTCCCTTCTCTCTCCCTTTCCCTCCCACCTCTCATCCCTGTTTAATGTTAATCTTCTTCTCATGCTCTTCCTCCCAACTCTTCTTACTTCCTCTCCTTATATCAAAGAAAACATTTGGCATTTGTTTTTTAGGGATTGGCTAGCTTCACGTATCATAATCTGCTCTAATGCCATCCATTTCCCTGCAAATTCTATGATTTTGTCATTTTTTAATGCAGAGTAATACTCCATTGTGTATAAATGCCACATTTTTTTTTATCCATTCGTCTATTGAAGGGCATCTAGGTTGGTTCCACAGTCTTGCTATTGTGAATTGTGCTGCTATGAACATCGATGTAGCAGTGTCCCTGTAGCATGCTCTTTTTAGGTCTTTAGGGAATAGACC